GGGTTCTCCGGGCCCCTGACGAAAACAGTCCTGTAAAGGCAGGCTCTCATGTTCCGTGATAGTGAGGACATCTCTTTCTACTAAGAGATTTCATGTTTAGTTTAGATGGTGGTCTCTATTCTGAAGATTTGTTGTCTTGATTCTACGTGAAACATTGGAGGATATATTTCTTTCAGGATCACCTTTATCAGATCTGTCTTCTCACAAGAATTAATCATCTACTTCACTTTTTCCTACCCTAAAGTCAAATCAAGAATTTTAATATCTATATTTGCAGCCAGAATTTACAGACATTTGTATTTGCAAATTTCTACTTTGGATAACCACACTGTTTATCTATTAAATTTCATTTCAAGGAAGTCTACAAGGATATGCTATATTAATGTAGCCTTCCAAATTGCATTGTAAGTGCTGAGTAAATTATTGCTCTGTGAATGATTTCCATGTAAGTAGTTGTAAATGATAGAGGCAGGCCTTTACTATCCATTCATGAAGTATCAACAAAAGAAAATAGTCCTCATTTGATTGTCTAGAGAGATGAAGTAGCGGTAAAACCATACAAAGATCCACAAAGTTATTTCTCTGACGTTATTCCCATCTAATATTTTCTTGTTTCTAATATTAAGGAAGCCCAGCAATTGATATTTTAATACTGTATTTCCAAAAATGCATTAAATTGCTTTTCAAGTCATGAAAGTAAGATTTTGGGGTTTTTTGGTATGATTTCTGAGTAATAATAAATAGCTTATTGAATATCAGTCTTTGGTTTTATATGATTATTGTCAAGATATCATTTATTATAGAATAATTAGAAAACACAGGGAATCAAATAGCGGAAAATCAAAATTACCTGTGATTTTATCTTCTAACACACCATTTCCTAAATTTTGGGCAGCATTTTGGATTTTTTAATACCTGAAATATTGTACTAGCTATTTTGTAGCCTGTAGCATTTTAACTATGTAATATTACAACCATTTTCACAGAAATATTTATACTAATTATAAAATAAATCAAATATTTCCTCTGTGGATTGATGCAGCAGTATTTAATGAACCAACCTCTGATGGATATCTAAGCTAGTTATTCCCTGTCTCACTATTATAAATGCTATTGCAGTAAACCTTAGCAGTGATTAGGATTAGGGGTGTGTGTGTGTGTGAGTATGTGTGTGTGTGACATAAAATACATACAAATGGCATACACAGCAGTTTATTTCTCTCTCACATGGAGGAAGTTCAAAGGTAGGTGCTCCAGGATTTAACAGTGCTCAGCAGGATCAAGAAATCAGGCTCTACCTATCTTATTGCTCTGCTTTGCGGAGTGTCTGTTCCCAAAGTCTTGTCTTGGTCAGAAGTGTTCTGGAGGACTGGTTACTCAATTAGTGTTCTTCCCCAGGAGGAAGAAGGGTTCGGGTGAGAGAGTGGGCAGAAAAAGTTTGACCATATACCTTTAGTCAATTTTCATCTAGGGAAATGTCAAGAAATACAGAAAACTCCTTAAAAAGTACTATTTTTTCATGCAAGTAAATATTTTGAGAGGAAGGCGCTAAGAAATCTGACCCTTGTAAAATGATAGTGGCAGAAATGTTTTCCAGAATTAAAGACTTTGTTCTCTGAAGCACGTTGTGCACATTCAGACCTGCTCTTCCCTACTGTTCTCACTGTGCAGCTACTTGAGCCAGAGTCTGCGCGCTGATCTGAGTGTATATCACATGTTAGAATAGAAACCTGGAGTCATGCTTCTGTGCATTTCAAAGGGTTTGGCTCATAATAGATTTTCAGTAGAACAGGATGAGGAGCGGAAACCTTAAAAACAGTTACGTGAGATTTGCTGGATGAAATGTGGAAGGGGGGACCATGAAGGGTTTTTTATAAAATATTTGAAGAATTGAAATGTTTCATGGGGAAACAGTTTTCTATATGAGCTCACTCGGGTAGAACCAGGGCTAGTGGATGTTAGCTCCAGTAAGACAGATTTTTTTTTTTTTTTTCAAATTCAGCATAGTGACTTTTCTAACATTCAGAGCAATTCAAATTTAGATTAGGCTAGTTTAAGAGAAAAGTTATTCAATATCAACAGTAGAACAGTAGGAAATAGGTTTTTTAAAAAACTGTACCACTAGGCTTCTCTGGTGGGTCAGTGGTAAAGAATCCGCTGCCAATTCAGGAGACATGGGTTAGATCCCTGATCCAGGAAGATCCCCATGCTGTGGAGCAGCTAAGCCTGTGTGCCACAACTACTGAGCCTAGTGAAGCTCACGTGCTATAGAGCCCATGATCTGAAACAAGATAAGCCATGGCAATGAAGCCTGCACGCTGCACCTACAGAGTTGCCCTGCTCCCCGCAACTAGAAAAAGCCCCTGCAGCAAAGAAAACCCAGTGCAGCCAAAAAAATAAAAATAAAACTTCTAGGCAGGTTCAGTGGCTCAGGTGTTGAAGAATCTGCCTGCAATGCAGGAGACCCTGGTTCAATGCCCGGGTTGGGAAGATCCCCTGGAGAAGGGAATGGCAACCCATTCCAGTGTTCTTGCCTGGAGAATCCCATGAGCACACTGCAGTTGGAGAGCAGCCCTGTATACCGCAGCTAGAACAAGCCCATGCAGCAAAGAAGACCCCGCACAGACCAAAAAAAATAGACAAATAAAAATTTAAATTGTACCACTTGTAATAGCAACAGAAAGCCTCAGATACATGAGAATAAATTTGACAAAAGAGATGCAAGACCCCTACATGACAATGGTAGAACACTGAAGAAGGATATTAAAGAAGATCTGGAGAAATGAAGAGATACTTTGTTCTTGGGTTGGAAGACTTGATATTGTGAAGATGTTGTGTCTCACCAAATTGATGTATATTCAGTGATAATTCTAGTCTAAATCCTAGCATTTTTTTTTTAACAAGCCCATCCTAAAATTGGCAATGCAGAGGGGTAAGGATAGTCAAGGCAATCTTAAAGATCAAGATCACAGACATCAGTACCCTTATAAAGTGGGGGTTATTAAAATCTGTGGATTAGTATAAAGAGACCAGTGGAACAGAATCAGAAATCTTTAGTAGCACATTTATATTTATTTTTAAATTGAAACTGTAGTACAATGCAACAGAGAAGGGATTTCTTTTCATTACGTCATGGTTGGGCAAGTAGAAATCCAGGTAGAAGAAAGCCATGAATGTTGATCTTTATCATACACAGTAATGCCATTTGCAGCAGCATAGATGGGCCCAGAGATACTGTGTGAAGGAAATCAGACAGGGAAAGAAAAATACTATATGACATCCCTTATATGCGTGATCTAAAAAGAAATGATACAAATGAACTTACTTAAAAAATAAAAACAGACTCACAGACTTAGAGAACAGCCTTATGTTAATCAGCGGGGAAGGAGGAAGGGAAAGGATAGTTAGGGAGTCTGAGATCAACATATTCACACTGCCATATTTAAAATGAATAACCAGTGAACCTGCTGGTTATAACCAGTATAACTCAGGGAACTCTGCTCGGTGTCATGTGGTAGCTTGGATGGGAGGGAAGTTGGGGGGGGAATGGATACATGTACAGGTAAAAAAAAATTTGATATATAAACTCATTTTATAATAACTAAAGAAAAGATTGTCAACTTTGTTATCAGACAATTATAGTTATAACCACAGTGTACCGCAAGACACTCACTAAAATGAATACATGTGTCGATGAGAGTATGGAGCATGTGGAACACTTTTACACTATTAGTAGGTGTGTACTGTACAGCTGTTTTGGAAAACTGGCAGAATTTGCTGAGGCTTAAAGTACATGAATGCTATATCCACAAAGCCCCACTCTTCAGTATATATGCAACAGAAAGGTATACATATATTCAAAAAAAGGTGCATACAAGAGTGCTCACAGCAGCACTGTTGGTCATAGCCAAAACTTACAGACAACTCAAATGTTCATCAGCTCCACGTTAATTGTGAAATAGTCATAACAATGAAAAGCCACATGGCAAAGAGCAGGTCAGCTACAACTACACACAGCAATGTCGATGAATTGCACAAACTGTTGAGAGAAAAAAGCCAGATACCGAATGGAATTTTCATCAAACTGCAGTTCAGAACCAGGGCAAAAAGCAGTGGTGTCAGAAGTTGGGGAAGTGGTTTCTTTGTGGCATGGGGTATGATTACAGGGGATTCTCGCTGTGCTGCCCGCTTCTGTTCCTAGCTGAGCTGGTGGGTAGAGGGGAGAATTAAGTGTGAGGGAGGTGCCTTTCTTCTGAAGGGCTTTGAGTTAAGTAGTTTCCAGGAAAGATTTCTTTTGTAAAGGATCTTAGGAGATAATGATTAACAAACTCTGTCAAGAGTCCCAAGGACAAATAATCATTTATTAAAAATGCTGTTTTAGAAGAATAGGAGAAAACTAGGTTTGGATAAAGGCATTTGCATTTCTGCTCTTTTATTTTTTTTGCAATAATTTCATATCCATTTTCAAAAAAGATAAGGTGGCTGTTTAAAAAGTCAGTGTCATGAGTAAATAGAAATTGAAAGAATGAAGCAGAGATGAGCTAAAAGGAGAGAACAGGTATGCTATCTACAGGGTAATCTCAGAAGATGGACTTGAGCATACATCTTTCCTCTTACTTCCAGTACATCCAGAGGCAAAAGAGAACCAATTATAATTTCCTAGGTTGAGAGTTACTTTCTTTGTCACTTAAGCTCAGGTGCAGATTTCGTCCCTGAAGCATTAAAAAGGCAATGCTGAATGACGTAATGGCGCATGTCTTCAGTAATGACGATATGACAGATGTGTTAATTGAATTTTAGGTTGTTTCTTACGATGACCTTCGCTGAAAACGAAGAGAGTGTAATTACTCAGGGAATGTAATGTTGAACCAATGCTTTTACCTAGTGCTCCTGCCACTTGTGGTTTGGGGGTGACATATAGCATTTGGGGATTTTTTTTCCTTTTTTTTTTTTTTTGGCTACTTTTCAGAGACTGAGTTCACATTGTTTCTGTCAACCAGGTGCCCGGGAAGAAAGCAGCGTGCAGCAGGCGCAGCGCCGGTCGGCCGTCTTTCTGTCCTTTAAGTCCCCGATTCCGTGCCTGCCCCTGCGCTGGGAACAGCAGAGCAAACTTCTCCCCACGGTGGCCGGCATTCCTGCCAGTAAAGTTTCTAAGTGGAGCACAGATGAGGTAGGTTTTACTTTCTTTGTCTGCCAGGGACCTGACGTAGGAGTACCGGCTTAAGGAGTGGGCAACATGAATGCATACGGGGCTTAGTCTTTTTTTCTAAAAGAGAAGAAATTATTTGAGAGAAGCAGTGAAAACACAGGTTGATATTTGGAACCTGTACCAATGAGATTCTGGCTTTTGTTTCAAAACTGGGATTTTGATCTTATTTTTTAACAGGTGTCAGAATTCATACAGAGCTTACCTGGATGTGAAGAACATGGAAAGGTATTTAAAGATGAAGTAAGTGTTCAGCTGAATTGCAGTATGTTTCTTAGTGGGGGACGCAGCACTGAGACGCAGTGCATAGTGAAATATTCTAAATTGGCAGAGGAGGGAAGAGATGGGTTATGTTGAAATTGACAAAGTGATACTGCGTTGTCTAACAAGCAGCGTTAATCACTTCTATAAAAACATGTAAGATGAGGAATAAAGGAAATGTTTGTGCCATTTTATGATGCCCCACAGCAGTAGCACTAAACTCATTTAAAAAAAACACAAAATGTACTAGCATGCATTTATATAGTATACAGCACAGAAAGAAACCAAAGCAAGAAATAAGCAACATTTCATTTTTCATAAAGTAAAATTAGCTCCCACTGTTTAATTTTCAAGTGTTATTTTAACCCCAAGATTAACTTCATTTGATGCTTATAATTAATATTACCATTATTGCTAAAACAGCCCCTTAGATCTTACACATGTCTCAGTGTTGTTTATCCTAACTGACATGCATTACATTTATTACCATCTGCCATTGGAAGATTTTATTAGTTGTTTTCATCTGCCGTTCCAAAACATCAATGTAAGGTATGGTTAATAATGATACCACCTCTAGTGAGCATTAGGATAAAAAGGAATTCAACCTCTAACTACACTAGAAGCTGGAGACTCTTTTCACTAGAGACCTTTAAAAATAAGCCACTTGCCTGTCAGCTTCTCCAAGCAGAATAGTCCATTATTGCGTTGATCTTGGCTCCCAGAAGGTACAGTGAGGACTAAGTCATCTCAAAAGTCTTTGTCCCACATCTGCTGTCTGCAGTAATAAGTTATCTTGTTTGTACCTGTGTTTAGCCTCCACTGTTCAAAATGGCATTTTCTGTTAAGAACATCGCAACAGAGTAATAAGAGTGTCGGGACTGCCAAGAACCCGGCCACCAGTTGCCAGTGTCAATATACTATTAGCTATCGTTTATGCTCTATGTGGATGCCTGTGAAAATGCACGAGGATCTGATTTTCATTAGCCTTTTTATGACTTAACGTTCTTATTTCAGAAATATTCTTTCCAGTGGATCTTTAATTTGTAGTTACCCAGATTTTGAGCTTCTTAAGGCCCAAGTCCTAAGTATTTTTGTGTTACTCTCAGTCGATTTTCCATCCCTAAGCAGACTTATATTCCTGCGGGGAGCCATTGTTCTTTCTTTGAAAGACCCTTTGAAAATGATGCAACAGTTTTAAAAATAAATTTCTAGTACATATATTTTATAAACACTACTTTTGGTTCTGTTGATATCTAGACAGTTCTTATAGGTTGCTCTGTTATTTAGTTAAAGTAAGATTCAAATTCACATGATATGTTATTTCTTTGAATAACTCCTTTCTTAATATTATCTTTGGAGACAGTCCTTAGGCACCAACCAGATAGCCTCAGAGGCAGAGCCTTCTTTTGAAGAATGAGGCAATGAATGTTCCCTGTCCACGTGTCATTCATACATTCATTCCACTCTTCATTCATCCTGTGAACTCTTGTTAAATGACTCCCATGTGTATGTTACTACATGTGATGCTCTGGTGAGAGGGTTAATTCAGAAGTAATAGGACATGATCCTTGCTCTCAAATGTCTCACCAGGTCAGCAGGCATGGGGTTCGAGTCCTAGCCGAAAACCAGAAAGCAAATCTAAAGTCTTGTAATTCATCTCTGAAAGGCAAATAAGTGCAGGTGTGGGCTCTTATCTGAAACCATCCTTAACTTCTGTTTCTCTTATACACTCCACATTTAATCAGTCGAAAAACCCTATTGGATATATTTTAAAAGCATGAGGATTCCAGCTCTTTCTCCACCATGATCTCTATGGTCAGAGTCACTGTTATCTGCCAGTTGGATTAAAGCAGTAACGTCTAGCCATCCACCTTGCTTCTACTTCTGCCCTCCTACAATTTATTTCCAGCATAGCTGGGCTGATTCTGCTAGAGCGTTGTCAGATCACGTCTCTCCTCAGTTCAGACCCTTCTGGTAGTTAAATCAGAGTAAAAGCCAACCTCCTCACCAGGGCTACAGTCTGACACTCCATCGCCTCTCTCACCATCTGACCTCTTTGTCCTCTGCCCGCTGCTGACACTGTTCCTCACACAGACCTCCTTGCCGTTCCTTGCATTCTCCAGACACACTCTGGCTTTCCTGTCTGTCTGGCATGCTCTTCCTCTAGGTGTTCACATGGCTCACTCCACTTCTCAGCGTCCCATCCTAACTGTCTTCCTTCAGACTGCCACCTCCCACCCCTGATCCCACTGCCCACTTACATCTTCAGCCAGGAGTTTTCTCCTAGCACCAATCACCTTTTAGAATTAGTAATTCTTTTTTGTTGTTGTTTTATTTTTTTTCCGTTTATTTTTATTAGTTGGAGGCTAATTACTTTACAATATTGTAGTGGTTTTTGTCATACATTGACATGAATCAGCCATGGTTTTACATGTATTCCCCATCCTGATCCCCTCTCCTACCTTCCTCTCCACCCGATCCCTCTGGGTCTTCCCAGTGCACCAGGCCCGAGCACTTGTCTCATGCATCCAGCCTGGGCTGCCGATCTCTTTCACCCTGATAATATACATGATTTGATGCTGTTCTCTTGAAACATCCCACACTCGCCTTCTCCCACAGAGTCCAAAAGTCTGTTCTGTACATCTGTGTCTGTTTTTCTGTTTTGCATATAGGGTTATCGTTACCATCTTTCTAAATTCCATATATATGTGTTAGTATACTATATTGGTCTTTATCTTTCTGGATTACTTCACTCTGTATAATGGGCTCCAGTTTCATCCATCTCATCAGAACTGATTCAAACGAATTCTTTTTAATGGCTGAGTAATAGTCCATGGTGTATATGTACCACAGCTTCCTTATCCATTCATCTGCTGCTGGGCACCTAGGTTACTTCCATGTCCTGGCTATTATAAACAGTGCTGCGATGAACATTGGGGTGCACGTGTCTCTTTCAGATCTGGTTTCCTCGGTGTGTATGCCCAGGAGTGGGATTGCTGGGTCATATGGCAGTTCTAATTCCAGTTTTTTAAGAAATCTCCACACTGTTCTCCATAGCGGTTGTACTAGTTTGCATTCCCACCAACAGTGTAAGAGGGTTCCCTTTTCTCCACACCCTCTCCAGCATTTTCCCCTAAAATCAGGAACAAGACAAGGGTGCCCACTCTCACCACTACTATTCAACATAGTTTTGGAAGTTTTGGCCACAGCAATCAGAGTAGAAAAAGAAATAAAAGGAATCCAGATAGGAAAAGAAGTGAAACTCTCTCTGTTTGAAGATGACATGATCCTCTACATAGAAAACCCTAAAGACTCTACCAGAAAATTACTAGAGCTAATCAACAAATATAGTAAAGTTGCAGGATGTAAAATTAACACACAGAAATCCCTTGCATTCCTATACACTAACAATGAGAAAACAGAAAGAGAAATTAAGGAAACAATACCATTCACCATTGCAACAAAAAGAATAAAATACTTAGGAGTATATCTACCTAAAGAAACAAAAGACCTATACATAGAAAACTATAAAACACTGATGAAAGAAATCAAAGAGGACGCAAACAGATGGAGAAATATACCGTATTCATGGATTGGAAGAATCAATATTGTCAAAATGGCTATACTACCCAAAGCAATCTATAGATTCAATGCAATCCCTATCAAGCTTCCAACGGTATTTTTCACAGAACTAGAGTTAGTAATTCTAATTTGCTTGTTATGGTCTTTCTTATAGTCTGCCTCCTACTCCTCAAATGTAAACTGTACAAGGAGTTTTTGTTTGTTTAGTTTTGTTTTTGTCTGCTTTAGTCTCTGCTATATGCCCAGGCCCAAGAATAATACTTAGAATATGTGCTCGGTTGTGTCCGACTATTTGTGACCACAGGGACTGTAGCCCACCAGGCTCCTCTGTCTATGGGGATTCTCCAGGCAAGAATACTGGAGTGGTTTGCCATTTCCTCCTCCAGAATCTTCCCAGCCCAGGGGTCAAACCCAGGTCTCTTGCGGCTGCTGAATTGGCAGGCAGGTTCTTTACCACTAGCACCACCTGGGAAGCCCATTTAAAATATAATGGGTACTTAATAAGTTTTTGTTGAATGAATATATTCATCCCTTTATGCCCTGAGAAAGACATTCAGAGAGCAGGTTGCTGTAATTTGTGGAGTTAAAACACTGGAAGAGAACCGTGAGTGCACAGTGAAAGAATGAGGAAACGGGAGGTGAGAGCCCCAAGTCCCAAGTCCTCCCTCAGAGTTTTGGGCCTTTAGTAAGATACTTAACCTCTGGAGTTAGACCAGTTTATGTGTATTATGAAAGCATAAACAAAAAATAAACCCAGCCATATATCGCAGTAATTACTGTTTTTAGAAAGTCATTTCTTAATTTACTTCTTTCCCACTGAGTAGAAAAGATGGCTACACATAAAAGCAGCTTGTGAGAAACCCACTTTCCTGTGAGTTGATTTTTAGATGAATAAATTTGACTTTGCTCGTAGTCCCCATTTGGGGGTGTTATTACATATAAGAAAGATCTGCTTATCAGGAAACGTTTGCACACCTGAATCCCTGTCTGTGGTGCTCTAGTGTTGCATGTAGAAAACAGCTGATAATTTAACCTTGAGTATGTCCCATGACTCTGTGTCCAATCAACTCATAATCTTTTGTCTTTTTTCCTCCCTTTTAGCAAATTGATGGAGAGGCATTTCTGCTTATGACCCAAACAGACATTGTGAAAATTATGAGCATTAAGTTGGGCCCAGCACTCAAAATTTTCAATTCTATCTTGATGTTCAAAGCCGCAGAGAAGAACTCTCACAATGAACTTTGAAGGTGGTGAATTTTGAATACCATCAGCTTTCTGCTTTAAAGCTCATATTTTACTCAAAGCACAAAGACAGTTGTAACTTCTAAGTGAGAAGTCTCCAAAAATCTAAAGAGCAATGCTATCAGATTATTTATATTCCTCAAGAGACAATATATATGAATTCTTACAAAAGTGCTTGAGCTTTTAACCAGGTACTGTCTAACAACAGTCATCTTTTGGTTCTGTTCACTGAGCTAAATTTATCTTTGTAAATCTTTTTGAGGCTGGGGGGGTGGGGGGGAGGGGGACTTCATTAATTATTTATGGAAAAAGTGGGGGGCAGAATAAGAACTTTTGGCATTTTGTAAACATTGTTGAATTCTCTTTCATGTACACTGTTTCTTTTTCAATACTTTCAGGAACCTTTTTTATATAATCAAACTTCAACTTAAACCAAATTAGTTAAAACCTGGCTAAATTTAGCCAGTGGGACTGTTATCTGTATTGCTAATTCTGTGCCATATTTTGAATTGCAACATTATGCTAAGTATAACTTTGCAAGTCATGATATTGCCTAACTGCTTGTCCTGATTCATTGAGGCTGAATAGTTATAAAAATTACCTTCCTTTAAATCAGTGTTTTTACTTTTGCACGCAATTATGAAATGTTAAACAAATTACTTTCACCAGCATCTTGACTATAATTACCAAAAACGTGTATATAAATAATGGAATTAAAAAATAAAATATATAAACATAAATAAGGTGATGTATTTGAATGGCATCAGTCTCATACATTGTAGTGCCCTGTGTGTTTACAGGACTCCAGTGATATCAAAGGAATATACAGTTATATTTGAAGGGGGCGCTGTTTGTATGATATTGAACTGTTTATGAGATGATATTGAGCTTTTCTCTAATTGTCATTGAAATAATTGTGGTGCTTTGCAGAGGTGAAGGGATCATTCTGTCAATGTAAACACTAATCCCTGAAGAGCTCTGTCTTAGACCTTGCAGTATCCTCCAAACCCAAAGGTTTTCTTCAGTTTTGGCTAAAGAGAGAGTGTATAGATTTTACTGAAGAGGCAAAATTTGAGGGAGCAACCCCAGTTGAGGCAAACATTCTAAATGCTCACAGATCAGGGAAGTGACTTCCTAAAGCTCCATTTTGGAAAAACCCTCTTCTCCATAGAAGTGTTTGCCTCAGTATAGAAGCGTACAGATGCACTTTAATTGAAAACCCTTGATTCCCTATAAACTGAGAGCTGGTAGTGTTTCTTTTGCAAGAATGCATTTCCAACGCAAAAGGTAAATTATTTTATCAGCCTATGTATGTAACTTCTATTTCCAGGATTGGATATTTATCCAAGGACTATTTTAAAAGTAGAAAGTAAGTTTGTAGCATGTTGTCTGAATTCTGGGGAAAGTTTCACCTTTCTCTGTAGTTGCTCTCATTTTTTCTCATGTAGGATTCCCTTGATATCTGCCCTGCCCCACACCCTGTTGGAAGTCTGTAGTGGTCCTTTGCTTTTGTCGTAATTCAAGGTAAAACAGGGCCCATGACATCTGCCATGGCCCCTTCATTTCTTTGCATGAGTCTGCTTAAAAAAAGTTTTTCGTTGTTAGTTTTTATTTTCTTTATGTTTTGTTCAGAGTTTGTACATTCAAGTTGCACTTGTTATACCTGACATGAATTAAATAAAATCTTAATTGCAGATACCTTTTTTACATATGTATGATTCTTAAAAATAGAAGGGGTGAATGAGAGCAGGAGTAATTATCAAACATACGGCCTTAGATAGCTGTGTATTGGAGCTGTAGGGTTCAGAGCTGTTGGTCAAGCTATGTCCCAGATGATGTGAAGAGTGACAAAAAGGAAGAAAAAAATTAAAAAATGTTATTTTTAGGTCAAAGTAGGGTTCACACACATTGAAGACTTCTTTTTTAAAGCATGTGTTGTTTTTTTAAAAAAAAAAAAGAGCCTTTAAATCTTACTGAAAACATCCATTCATTCTGAGAAGCATGTTGTTTGTGTTCGAGGCAAGATATTAAGCACCCCTGTTAGGGTGGAACAGTCTACCAAAAGAAGTGGAAGTTTTCACCATTCCATTCCTGGGATATTCTCTAAGAATGGACTGAGTTTTAACAGAGGAAATAGGGAGCCCATGGTGACAGGGAGGTCCCTGAAATGAGAGAAACAGGTTTGAGGTAAGACAAAAGTGAGAGATGAGAAATATGGAACTTGACAGGACCCTCCCATCAAAAGGCATTTTAAAAAACTTACAAATACTCTATGAGCCAAAGGAGTCCTGCCTGGAGGTTAACATATTATCCCAGGCTGCCATTTTGCAACTTTTGGGTTCAGTGGATTCAACCTCCAAAGAAAATAGGGTTAGGCTGGCCAAGCAATATTGAATATTTGCCAAGTGGCATGACCATGCTGGACATTGGAAATAGATACACCACTGAAAGAATGAATTTTATGGGACTCTGCCCTCATGGTCAGCTTATGTCTGTCATGTTCAAAGCCAAACTTCACTGCAGTTTACCTGCAGCTAGTTCCACCTCTCTCTCTCCACCTCCAGCCCAAAGGAGCAAAGAAAGGCTTTCATTCAAGGCTAACTCTTAAAAAAAAAAAAAAGGCAATACACAGAATTGAAAGAGACACATGTACCCCAGTGTTCATCGCAGCACTGTTTACAATAGCTCAGACATGGAAGCAACCTAGATGCCCATCAGCAGATGAATGGATAAGGAAGCTGTGGTACATATACACCATGGAATATTACTCAGCCATTAAAAATAATTCATTTGAATCAGTTCTAACGAGGTAGATGAAACTGGAGCCTATTATACAGAGTGAAGTAAGCCAGAAAGATAAACACCAATACAGTATATTAATGCATATATATGGAATTTAGAAAGATGGTAATAATGACCCTATATGCGAGACAGCAAAAGAGACACAGATGTACAGAACAGACTTTTGGACTCTGTGGGAGAAGGCGAGGGTGGGAATGATTTAAGAGAATAGCACTGAAACGTGTATATTACCATATATGAAATAGATTGCCAGTCCAGGTTTGATGCATGAGACAAGTGCTCGGGGCTGGTGCACTGGGAAGACCCAGAGGGATGGGATGGGGAGGGAGGCGGGAGGGGGTTCAGGATGGGGAACACATGTACACCCATGGCTGATTCATGTGAATGTATGGCAAAAACCACTACAATATTGCAATTAGCCTCCAATTAAATAATTTTTTAAAAAGGTAATACAAATGAAACATATTTACAAAACAAAGACTCATAGACTTAGAAAGCAAATTTATGGTTGCCAAAGGAGAAAGGGGAGGGGAGAGATAAATTGGGAGTTCGGGACTGATGTGTACACAGTGCTATATTTAAAATAGTTAACCAACAAGGTCCTGCTGTATAGCGCAGGGAACTCTGCTCAATATTCTATAATAACTTAAGTGGGAAAATAATTTGAAAACAGATACATGTGTATGTGTAACTGAATCACTTGGCTGTACACCTGAAACACATTATTAATCAACTATACTCCAATCCAAAGTAAAAGAAGAAAAAATTTAAAAAGGCCAGCCATAGAGATTGTGAACCTCCAAGGGAAAGGACTCTTTTAGAACTTGGTAAGTTCATTCTGGAGAACAGGAATAAGATTGTGAAACTTAAAAAATTGGAGTGGGGAGGGAATAATTGGGAGAAATAAACTTTATAAGGAACTAAAGGCACATTGCAGTGAAAGGGAAGAAATGGAAACTGCAGAACAGGGACTAGTTATGCAGAAATGTACCAGATTGTTCTTGCCTGTCCATTCTCATATAAGCAGTGAATAATCATTGCAGAGGTGGGCAGCTGATCCCAAATTTTCTTTTTTCCCACTGACTTAAGCATTTTAATGAACAGTCAGAGATAAAGATACTAGTATTTTGCAGTATTTCTAGAGATGTGTTATAAAAATTTCTTCAATAAAATGAACCCTTCTTAAACTTAAATAATTGGATGCGATAACCCAGAAAATGTCCATTGCACTGTGATGCCATATTAGCACACTTAAATTCTTCAGTCTTTTAAACCAATTAGTTCTTTCAAAACTAAATAACATCAAGATTGTGATAACAGCAAGGGGGACCTTAAAACCATCATGTTTGATAAATTACAATGTGGGACTCTGGGCTGGATGAGGCACAGAACTAGGGCTCCTGAGAGAGACTGGAGAGCTGATCTGGGAAGGCCCTAACTTGGAAACTGGGTGCTGGGGCCCTGGGAGTGAAAAGCCAGGTTCTTATTACAGATCCACACTAGCCCATGGGGCAACCAAGGCATATGAGGACACTGGAGTCAAAACGAGGGAAAAGCAGAAAGCTTGGGAGACAAGAACCAGCCGTATCACTCTTTCTCGAGGGAAGCAGAGGAAGAGGAACATGGGTGCCCGATGATGAAAACCTGTGCCAGCGAGAGTATCCAGCAGACAGGTGACCTCAGGAACAGCCACAGTTCTCAACAGATAGGAGGGAAGGAACCTGAACAGCTGCAGGGCAGGTCAGCAGGCGGAAAGAGGAACTGGGGGGTTGTGTGCTGTGCTAGGTCCCTCAGTCGTGTCCCACTCTTTGCGACCCTGTGGACCGTAGCCCACCAGGCTCCTCTGTCTATGGGGATTCTCCAGGCAAGAATACTGGAGCGGGTTGCCATGCCCTTCTCCAGGGGATCTTCCTGACCTAGGAGTTGAACCTTTGTCTCTTGGCTATGTCTCCTGCATTAGCAGGGTGGGGCAGGGTTTACCACTAGCACCACCTGTACATCTTAAAATGCTCAAGTCCAAAATGTTTCCAAACAATGCTCAAACCAAAGAGACAGAACCACAGGCCACAAATGTGAATCCTGGGCATTCAGTTCAGTTGCTCAGTTGTGTCTGATTCTTTGCCACCCCATGGATGGAAGCATGCCAGGCCTCCCTGTCCATCACCAACTCCCAGAGTTTACTCAAACTCATGTCCATCGAGTCGGTGATGCCATCCAACCATCTCACCCTCTGTCGTCCCCTTCTCCTCCTGTCCCTAATCCTTCCCAGCATCAGGGTCTTTTCCAATGTCAACTCTTCACATGAGGTGGCCAAAGTATTGGAGTTTCAGCTTCAGCATCAGTCCTTCCAATGAACACCCAGGACTGATCGCCTTTAGGATGGACTGGTTGGATCTCCTTGCAGTCCAAGGGACTCTCAAGAATCTTCTCCAGCCCCACAGTTCAAAAGCATCAATTCTTCAGCACTTCTAGGCATTAAGTTTTTTAAAAGTGGACATATTGCCTTAAGTGCAAGTCATATCCTAATTTGAAGCATTTTAAGAAAATGTGAAGCATAGTGTCTTTTAAAAACTAATGCCCCCTTGAAAGTGTTAACTTGGATTGGAATTTCTTAAAACTCGAAACAAACAGCTCTTTAAGTCATATTTTATTACAGAATTTCAATAAAGAATTTGTGTCAAAGTGTAAAGGTAGAAGGCATTAATATTCACTTGAATCTCAGTGACAAGATGATTTTCTAATATTAATACCTACCTCTACTAAATCAAAACAATGGTTAATAGTTTCAGCCACCCCAGAGATCCATTCTGCTTAAATATTTGGCATGCTCTTAAGTGACTGTATGTTGAAATCCTACTTCCTTTTCCTTTTCTTTCATAGAAGGAGAATATGGACTGTGCGCATCAAAAATCAGTGTCTCTAGGAAGTTGAGGGTTTGAGACAGTCTTCTTGGACACTCAATCCCAAACACGTGGAAGGAAGCTATGAGAGCAGCCAAGGCTGTAACACAGTCATCCACCTTTGTGAGTCTCTCTTTTTCTAAATACAAAGAAAATTCACAGACATCCATGTTGAAAGGATTCTTAACTTCTAACACAGGCGTGGACACTTGCACCTGAATAAAAAAGATTAGAGTCACCACCCCGTGGTATGGAAAATAGCTAAATAATACAATGTGCCTCAATTTAACCATGATATTACAGTAAACGCACTTGTTACAATTTAGCATATTTGTGAATATGACAAAACATAACTTTAAAATAGGCCACCATCCTGCTTCAATTTATTGTATTAAATATCAAACCAATGATCATTGACATACTGCATACCTTGTCATTCACAATGACAAAAAGACTGGAATCCTCCCCAAAAGCATCTGGTAGGAGTAAACAAGTGGCTGTCATCTTCATATCTGTCAAAGCAAACATACTTACAGTCCAAGTAAATGTTGTAAGTAAAGCCAGTATTAAAATGTGTGGATTTTTTTGTTGCTGTTACTTACCTTATAAAGAACAAATTAGCTTTCTTAGACCTTAGTTTCCCCTAGCATTTTTTTTTTAAACAACATCCCCTTGTAGTAAACATTCAAGATCTCCTGTTCTGCCCTCCATGTTGCAGCCAAGAGGAGGTAAGATTTCTGTACTCTCTGTCCATCTGCCAGAATGATTTCAATGTACTTAACCTGTGGTCTGTAAATTACCTTCTATATGAAATTAACAGGTTACTAGTTTCCTAAATATTATAATATCACATGTACTTTTAAAATCTATTCTTAAGCTCCTTCTACTGGAGACATTATTTTTTCATCCTCACATATTTTTTCACTAAATTCTACAAAATACAGCTTTCCTAATTACCCTGAATTATGCAGGTAACTGAGACCAGATCACCCTATCCCCCAGGTTCACTAACGTTTCAACGTGTCTTCATCTGTATGGTGTTTCATCTTTTCTTGCAACGCAATATTGATTGGGTTGTCCACCAAAGAAAGAGAAGCCAGTATATTTTCTGAATAGGATTCCAAAATGTGCCTTGTTCTCTTATAAATATCTGTTCTTGTAATAAGTTGGAATTCTCTGAAGAGCTGAAAAAAGAAAAAGATCACAAGAGAAGCTAACCTATGGACTACAAGAAATTAAATTACTCTGTAGAAGTACATTAAGCTTTGAATGCTAGTTTATATACTAGATATTTGATTAGTTTTACTGGGGAAGTAGACTTAAGACAGAGGAGGAGAAAAGAGTGGAAGCCTGAAGTGAACAGAAAAAGATAAATAGTGGACATGACAAACATCTAAGCCTGCAGAACTAAATCTGGATACAGACTCAAGCAAATGAGGGTAACAAAGTAACTGGGGGAAAGAGCAAGCAAAAAAAGAAATCCCTCCACAATGAATACAATGAATATTTTGTCTGTCTGTGTTACCCAACTGAGATTCTAGGATCTTACACTTCTTTACTACATTGTTATTTTGGCACTCTCCAGGAAGAGGCACAAGAAGAAATCTATCTGATTTTAGGAAGCAAACCTTGAAAAAATTCCTAACCCTATTATCCTAAAGGGAAAAGAGCTTTAAAGACACTGTAACATCAGACAGAAATAAAGGATGAAAAACAATCTAAATGTACGAGATTCAACTATGAGATGAAAGCAAAACCAGTTAACCTGTATGGAAACCCCTTTACTCAGAATCACTTTTTCCTGCTCCTGCCTAAGTTCTTCTCTTGGGAGAATTCCACCACCACTGCCTCACAATTTTTTTTTTTTTTTTGACAGAGTGACATTATAAAACTCTTCATCACCCACACTAAAAGGAATTATGTAGTCATCACTTTCCCTAAAACTCTATAAAAAACAGTTATATACTACCCACTGGGTCTCATTGCTTCTTGAATGTTTTGGTGGATCATACATTGCCCAAAGATTAGGTCTGAAAGTTATCAGAAAACTGGAATGCACATCCTCATATAGGCATAGCAACTCTGCCATCAGGCAACCCTCAGTGGGCACTAATCTGTATTAATACCCTAAAAAGAAACTCTCTCAGGGAGCAGGGAGATGTGAAGTGAAACACAAGGAAGCTAGAGAGTCCACTTTCTTGGGGGCAGAACCTAGGAATTTTTTTAACTTTTTTTTAAACAAAGAATTTCAGGTTGACATTAAAGTTGCAGAAAGAGTAAATAGAGGTCACAAATGGCCTTCATGCAACTTCGCCCAAGGCTAACATTTCTGACTGATTTGAAAGTAAGCTGTAGACAGGAGGCCCTCTTAACCCTTAATTCTTCATTGCATATTATTATTCCTTGTACTTAAGAATTATCAGGACATTATCCTACATAAGCACCACATAACCATTAAAAATCAGGAAAACCTAATCCACAGACCCTATTTAAACTTTCCAGTTGTTGCAATCATGCTCTTTACAAATCTCAGATCTAATCCAGGAACACGTGAGATTTAGATGTTTCTTTGGTCTCTTTCAGTCTGAAACAGCATCTCGGTTTTCTTTAAATTCCTTAACATATTGTAAAAGCAGAAGCCAATTACTTGGGGGAACACCCCCTCATTCCAGATTCATATGATGTTTCTTCATGATTTACAGACTTTTTACCAAGAATGCTGCCATTTCATCAGGAGGATGGTCGTTGGTCCCATTACTGAAGTTAGTAACTGATCTCTCGGTTAAAATGGAATCTTCCAGGTTAATTCATATATATGTAATAATTATTAATTAAAATATAGCTGTATGTATTTTATGGAGCAATCCCTTGAGCTGATGTAAATATCTTGTTCCTACTATAATTTTCATCTGTAAGATTTAGCATTCACCAGTGATTCTTGCCTGAATCAACCATCTACTGACTCATTTAGCATTTAAAAAGATCAGTATTTCATTTGTATTTCACACACAGTACTCTGCTAGGTACTTTGGGAACTACCACAATGTTTAGAACATGCTTAGCTTAGTTGGTAAAGAATCCGCCTGCAAAGCAGGAGACCCCAGTTTGATTCCTGGGTCAGAAAGATCTGCCAGAGAAGGGATAGGGTACCCATTCTTGGGCTTCCCTTGTGGCTCAGCTGGTAAAGAATCCGTCTGCAATGCGGGAGACCTGGGTTCAATCCCTGGGTTGGGAAGATCCCCTTTAGAAGGGAAAGGCTGTCCACTCCAGTATTTTGGCCTGGAGAATTCCATGGTCTGTATAGTCCATGAGATCATGAAGAGTCAGACACGACTGAGCGACTTTCACTTTTTCACTTTCTAACATTTTAAACTATTGGTTTAACAATTTTTGCTTTAAAAGTATATTTTATACATGTGTCAATCTGTCGTACTCTTCTAACAGAGACTGTTCCTAGCAACTGAAAGAGAATCCAAGCGATAAATAGGGTAGGGTTGCTGAAAATGAATTAACTAAAATAATTCATGTAAAGCACTAAGAATATGACTGCTTTGTAATAAATATTCAGATGTTCTCTATAGACATTATTATTAAAATAAAAAATGCAGACAAATTCTTATTTCAGTTTTTTTTTGGGTGGGGGGGGAAGAAAAGCCTATAAAACTTTTCATTTCATTTGGTTTCTTGCACCCATAGCATTCCTTCATGAAATGCATTCTCAGATAAAACTCTGATGAATCTTTCAGCCAAAATTACAGTAAAATTATAATATTTAATGGCCATCTTAAATAAACTAAATGGAAGGATGTTTGATTTACCCATAAAAACTTCACATATTTTAAGACCACTTAAAGAATCTATCTGCAATGTGGGAGAACTCGGTTCAATCTCTGGATTGGGAAGACCCCCTGGAGAAGGGAATGGCTACCCACTGCAGTATTCTTGCCTGGAGAATTTCATGGACAGAGGAACCTGGCAGGCTACAGTCCATGGGATTGCAAAGTGTCGGACACGACTGAATGATTTTCACTTTCACTTTATGGAGTAATTTGGGACGATAAAGGAAATAGGTTGTGAGTAATGCTGCAGGCTAACAGCACCCTAATAAGCTATCTCGATTGTCTAAATGCGTGCAAAGGGAAAATGTTTCCCACTGTCACAGTCCCCCGAAGCAGGGGGTGGTGCCTTGGGACACCACTGGGGACTCTTCAGATCTGATGACAGCCAGGGTGCGTTATCAGAATGAGTCCAGAAGTTCTTACCAAATGCTCCTCATTGTAGCCCCTTGGACCCCACACATTCTACTGAGATTCACACCCATCATCTTGCTATACAGTCCTGTTACTGCTCCAAGAGAAAAGAGAGAAAGGTCCATTTGAACACAATAATCAGAGTATTATAGGTAAATAAAGATACCTGATAAGGGCACTGCAGGAAAGGAAACATTTTAAGAATGTCCTTCAGAGGTGTTCTGCCGCCAATTAACTTTCTTCTTATTTCCAAAGTCTGGCTCATCCTCTTATCAATTTCTCTCCAGTCCTTTTCTGTTTTCACATATTCTTGCTGGAACCAGTTAATATGTTCATCTACCTCAGAATCTAAACAAACAGCTTCCTCCTGCAAAATATTTTCAAAATATCATATGTTCCATGTTTCAGGTGGCAGTTTAACACTCCATGAAGCCTTGAATTATGAGCTGTTGTTACATACTCAGTAATGCCCTCATATGTAGCATTATGTTTGGCCTTGACTAGCAAATGCTGTGAATAAATCAAATAGTTAATTACCAACTATGGAGTTATAATCTGTTCTCTTGACAGATTTAAAAGCTATTCATTTCCTATATACCCTTTTACATGGATATCTAGATTATCCAGAAGTTTAACATGTAATAAGAATGTCATTTATTCCTGTGCATTTAAATTTTAGAAGGCAAAATATTAAAAAGAGATAAAAAGGTTTTTAATGAAGGTTTTGTTATCATTTGTATTCTTAAATGTATTTGTATTTTTAAATTTGTATTTTTAAATGCCTATTTGGAATTGTAGTACCATGCCATATAATCCAAATTCAAAACAAATACAGTGGGTATATTGTGATACTAAATCATGCAGTTGTCAATTATATTCCCTATACATTTGGGTACACTGGATCAGGTGGAGTGACTAAAAGATACCGCACATATTCTCATTAAAAATCTAAGGCAAAAAATAAAAAATCTAAGGCAGGCGGAACAAGATGGCAGAGGAGTAGGTGACGTGCAGTACATCTCTCTCCACGGATACATCAGGAACACACCTTCAGACCCGGAAGTGGATGCAGAACAGAAGCTGAGAGCAGATAGGAGGGCCTGACCAGCGGAGAAGAACATGCAGAGCCACGCAAAACTCGGTAGGACAAAGGAACTAGGGGGAAAAACAGGAATGTTTCTAGGATGGACCTGCATTTGGTAGGTGGGGGAACTGAAGCAGGGGTCCAATCCCCACATCAGGGCAATTGTCTGAGTCAGACGAGGAACATTTAAGGCTGAGAGTGAAACAGCTGATCTGCGGCAGCCTAAATGGGATGAGAATCAGACAGCCCTTGCCACAGCCATACACACCCCGGACAGGGAGGCAGGCTCCCCAGAAGGCGCAGCAGCTGGGAGCTGGAGTTTAGGGACTGTGGGGCAATCCCAGGGCGAGGGCTGCTGCTGACTGTGGAGAGACGGATTGAGGGGAAGTGAGGGAGGAGATTGTGGTGGAAAATGCCTGTGGAGGAAAGCAAAGCAGCCATGAGAGCAAGGCAATGCTGCTGAGTCATGCGTAGGGGGTGGAGCCGTCACCATAGCCTCTCTCCCCCCACAGGCCAGCATCCGCAGCTGAACAACAGAGGCGGGCCCATCAAACGCCTGACGTTCAGTGACTAATGTGCCAAACTGCAGAGCAGGACCCCAGCCAGAGTGCCCCTGTAAGTGCCTGATGCCTGGCACAACAGAGAAGGACCCCAGGCAGGGGCGCCCGTTAAGAGCCTGAACAGGAGGAGCTACTGAAAAAACACTGGCCAAAGAGGCCTTCTGATCACCAGCTACAAGAGGCTTGAAAAAAGGACTCTGATAGGGCCATACCTCCTGCGGTGGAGACAGTCTATGTCCCTGCACATGTGGCGCCGCCAGGGTCCCCACAAGCCAAGCCTGCGCCACCTTCACCCTCAACCCTCACCAGGCCAGAGCTGCCACAGGTCAAAAATGTTCTGCGTCTATGCACGCAGGGTTACTTCGGTCGTGTCCAGCTCTTTGCAGCCCTGTGGACGGTGACCTGCCAGGCTTCTCTGTCAGGGGGTTCTCCAGGTAAGAATACTGGAGTGTATTGGCCAATACTGGTTGCCATGCCCTTCTAGAGGACTATATTTCCTGCTTCCCTAACCGCCAACTCCCCTGAGGACCTGGTGCTGCCAGAACCCATGCAACTCAAGCAGCGGCACCACCTCCGCACCTGGCCCTCACAGGGGCAGACCCAAGTCCTCCAGGGCAGCCTCAGGGGCAAACCCCAGTGAATGACCCACATCCAGAGGTGGAAATAAAACCACAGTTGAAACCCAGGGGCAGTGTGACTAAGGAAGAAGACCCAAAACCTTCCCACCGGCTGTACAGGCTGCAGATTAAATCCACACGATCAACTAGGCAGACTCTGTGTCCATGGAATATATAACAGGCCATCGAGAGCTCCCACAAAAGAAAACGCACTAGTTCTGATAGCTGTGGACATTGGAGGCAAGGACACAGAGGAGGAGGACCAGATTAGAATCTGAGCTGCCCCTGCAGCAGGGCCAGAGACCTGCACAGAGCTGGAGGGCTTCCTAGGGAGGTGAGGTGGACTGTGACTCCCAGTGAGGGAAAGGGTTCTAACAGCAGTGACTCAAGAAAAGCATTTATTATTCTTATGTTTTGACCTGTTCTGTAGACTCTTTTGGATTTTTTTACTTTTTTCTTTTTTCCCCTTTGCCCCGTGCTCTGTTGTAATGTCGATGTTATTGTCACTATGAAATCTAATTAAGCTCTTGAGTTTTGTTTTGTTTTTTTTTCTCAGTCACATTTTTTATTGTTGTTATAAACCTCTGTATTGGGCTTTTGTAGTTCTATGGAGTTTTCCTTTTTCTCTCTCTCTTTTTTTAATTTTAATTTTTAATTTTTTAAGCCTATTATTATTTTTTCTGCATTTATTCCTTTGTTTGCTTTTCCTACTGTTCTTTTCCCCTTCACAATTAATCTTTATATAAATCTTCTTCATCTACCTTTATTTAACTTTGCATATCTATTCTTTCTTTCCTTTCCTCTCAACATATTTGTTAGTTTTGTTTTCTTTGCTTTATTCCCCACTTGGCACCTTGCTTTAGTTTTGTTTTCCAGTTTGTGCTTTAGTTAGTGTTGTTCTTAACTGGTAGATATAATTTTTGATTTCCTTTGTTTTCTGGGTCAATCTACTGTACTTTATTGGACTGTTTTGATTTTACTTATTTTACAGTCATCAAGACAGTGTGGTACTGGCACAAAACCAGAGATATAGATCAATGGAACAAGATAGAAAGCCCAGAAATAAACCCATGTACCTATGGGTACCTTATTTTTGACAAAGGAGGCAAGAATATACAATGGGGCAAAAACTGCCTCTTTATTAAATGGTGCTAGGTAAACTGGACAGCTACATGTAAAAGAATGAAATTAGAACACTTCCTAACACCATACATAAAGATAAACTCAAAATTGATAAAACCCTAAATGTAAGATCAGAAACTATAAAACTCTTAGAGGAAAACATAGGCAGAACACTCAATGACATAACTCAAAAAGATCCCCTGTGACCCACCTCCTAGAGCAACGGAAATAGAAACAAAGTAAACAAGTGGGGCCTGATTAAACTTAAAGCTTTTGCACAGCACAGGAAACTATAAGCAAGGTGAAAAGACATCCCTCAGAATGGGAGAAAATAATAGCAAATGAAACAACTGACAAAGGATTAATCTCCAAAATATCTAAGCAGCTCATACAACTCAGTGCCAGAAAAACAAATAACCCAATCAAAAAGTGGGGAAAAGAACTAAACAGACATTTCTCCAAAGAAGACAGACAGATGGCTAACAGACACATGAGAAGATACTCAACAATGCTCATTATTAGAGAAATGCAAATCAAAACTACAATGAGGTATCACCTCACACTAGTCAGAATGGCCAGCATCAAAAAATCTACAAACAATAAATGCTGGAGAGGATGTGAAGAAAAAGGAACACTCTTGCACTGTTGGTGGGAATGTAAATTGATACAGCCACTATGGAAGATGGTATGGAGATTCCTTAAGAAGCTAGGAATAAAACCACCATATGATCCAGCAATTGCACTCCTAGGCATATAACCTGAGGAAACCAAAATTGAAAAAGGCACATGTATCCCATTGTTTATTGCAGCACTATTTACAATAGCTAGAACATGGAAGCAATCTAGATGTCCACTGACAGATGAATGGATCAAGAAGTTGTGGTATATATATAAAATGGAATATTACACAGTCATAAAAATGAATGCATTTGAGTCAGTTCAAATGAGGTGGATGAAACTAGAACCTATTATACAGAGTGAGGTAAGTCAGAAAGAGAAAGATAAATATTGTATTCTAACGCATACATATGGAATCAAGAAAAATGGTACTGAAGAATTTACTTACAGGGCAGTAATGGAGAAAAAGATATAGACTTATAGACATGAGGAGAGGGGAGGAGAGGATGAGATGTATGGAAAGAGTAACATGGAAACTTACATTACCAAGTGTAAAATAGATAGCCAATGGGAATTTGTTGTATGGCTCAGGAAACTCAAACAGGGGCTCTGCATCTACCTAGAGAGGTGGGATGGGGAGGGAGATGGGAGGGAGGTTCGAAAGGAAGTGCAAACATGTATACCTATGGCTGATTCATGTTTAGATTTGACAGAAAACAACAAAATTCTGTAAAGCAATTATCCTTCAATTAAAAAATAAACGACAACAACAAAAATCTAAGGCAATCAGGGAATTCTCTGGTAGTCCAGTGGTGAGGACTCTTTCACTGTTGAGGCCTAAAGTTTAATCTCTGATTGGGGAAATATGATCCTGCAAGCCTCACAGCTCAGCCAGAAAAACAAACAAACAAATAACCTAAGGCAATCAACAGGCTTTGAGGAGACAAGGAAAAAACTCTCGAAAAATTGGTTGAGAGGACACTTGGCTGAACTACACTTGAATCAACAAGTTGACTGTCACCTGACCAGAATGTGAACAGATGTTACCTGTAAAAGATGGGAAAAATTAGGACTTTTGCAAGTATATTAGGAAAGTGTCAGGTAGATCCACTGTTTGTGAACATAAGATGATTAGCAAGACATAGAACAAGTGAACAAATTTCTAGAAAAAAATGTAACATACCAGCAGACCGAAAAGAAATTCCTATAACCTTATATAAATTTAGTTAGAAAATAGAAGTCTTTCCACAAAGAAAATACCAAGACCTGAAGGTTTCACAGTTAAATTTTGCTAAACTTTCAAAACAGAGTGTGTACCAAATTTACATAAATTCTTCCAAGGAGTCAAAGAAAAAAAAAGAATTCT